TACTTCAAAAGTTATAAACTTTTGAATTTAAGTCATAAAAAACATGCGGGCCTTCGTCCCGCATGTTTTCTGTAATGCGTTCGAAATTAAAAAAAAATTTTAATTCTGGCGGTTGCCTCCGGCAACGCGTTATCTGCAACGCGTTCCGAATTTTTAAAAAATATTTTTAATTCTGGCGGTTGCCTCCGGCAACGCGTTATCTGCAACGCGTTCCGAATTTTTAAAAAATATTTTTAATTCTGGCGGTTGCCTCCGGCAACGCGTTATCTTCAACGCGTTCCGAATTTTTAAAAAAATATTTTTATTTCCGGCGGTTGCCTCCGGCAACGCGTTATCTGCAACGCGTTCCGAATTTTTAAAAAATATTTTTAATTCTGGCGGTTGCCTCCGGCAACGCGTTATCTGCAACGCGTTCCGAATTTTTAAAAAATATTTTTAATTCTGGCGGTTGCCTCCGGCAACGCGTTATCTGCAACGCGTTCCGAATTTTTAAAAAATATTTTTAATTCCGGCGGTTGCCTCCGGCAACGCGTTATCTTCAACGCATTCCGAATTTTTAAAAAATATTTTTAATTCTGGCGGTTGCCTCCGGCAACGCGTTATCTGCAACGCGTTCCGAATTTTTAAAAAATATTTTTAATTCTGGCGGTTGCCTCCGGCAACGCGTTCTCAGTAACGCGTTATAACATTTTAATTTTATTTCAAAAATTTGTAAAATTAATTAATTTTATTAAAATTTTCAGCCCAGACTGAAAGTTATAAATGAGACTCTAGTGTCCTTTATATTAAAAACTTATTTTCTAATATTCCCATTAATTTTTATAATTTTTAAAATTCATTTCCACTGATTTTAATCTTCAGACTCAAATATCCCAACCTCAGACTCAAATGACCCCTTCAAAAATATTTTTAAAAAATTCGTCTGATTTTTCCACGTCGAATGAGACCTTAATCATATTTTTCTGACAATTACTTCAAAAGTTACAAAATACGTCTCACCGTTGCTTAACTTTCCAGATCGGACGGTCTAGATCGTCAAATTTAAAAATTTTTCCAAAAATTTTAATTTCTTAAAAAATTCATAACTCGGTCCAAAAAACTCATTTGAACATAAAACAAAGCTTATTCGATGCAGAATTTAATTCTCTATCTTTCATCTCCCGACACTTTTCTTCTAACTTCAAAACAAAATATAGTTAAGGTCACTTTTATGAAATATACTCAAAAATGCACTTTTTACTCCATATCTTTTTTCTGTTAATCCATTCAACTTGAAACCAACTTTTTTCTTAAGAAACCCACCATGCTCTACAACTTTTCTCCCAACCACTTTTTGCTCAGACCCTTCTAAACACCTTAAATCCAAAGTTACCACTTTGACAAAAAAGTTGTCAACAGGCACATCTACCCTCCCCGATGTCAGAACGACTTCAACTCTTTTTCTATCATATTCTCCATGTTGTGGTGCTTCAACCTTGTAACTGACCCAACTTTCCCCGACTTCATCTTCATATTCAAATTTCACTTCAAAGTTTCGAAAATTCATGTTTTTTCAAAATATCTAAAAAACTCGCCCCTTTCCCCCAACTTTTGGAGGTTTTCCTGAAAACTACATTAAATTTCCCATCTATAGCAAAAAACCCCACCCCTCTACGTTTTCTCAAACTTCCGGAGGACTTTTTTTTAGCTGAGTGCCCTTTTACTGTTATATATAGATAATCTTACTACTCATTAATTCGTCAAATTTTTCTTTGATTGAATTTAATCGGGTTTCTTGACGGTGATAATTCGTTGTGTGTTCCAGCTTTTTCAACAAGAATTTTATCGTTTCTATTTGAAGCAATTGTTGCCATTCCTCAAGATTAGTTTTCCTTTTTTCATAATATTCTCGCATAAATGTCATCTTTTTATTAGCTAAACTCGACACCGCATGTGTTTTATTAGAATATGAATGAAATAAAGTGTCAGTTACGAACAATTCAATTTGAACATAAATTATGGATTTATTACAAGTGTTTCCATTAATGTTGATTATATAAAGTATTACTCCAAACATTTTTGCATCAGTTGATTTTAACGAATCTCCATCATCTGATAGTAATTCTGGGCAGGGTAATTCAAGATTTACTTCGTTCTGGATATCAAAAAATAAATTTTAGAAATTTTTTCAAATTTTGAAAACTAGTTCTTTTTTATTTTTTCATAATATCATTATGTATCTTTGCTGAATTTTTTGTAGATTTTTCCTAAACTTGGAAATATCTTTTTTGAAAAGTGGACTTATAATTTTGTGGAGGCCGAAAATGCAGATTTTGGTCTAAAAATCTTTTAGATAAAAAATTAGCCAAAAATCTATTCAAATCTTGTTAGTTATTCACTAAAAGGTGAGTATCTAAATTTTCAGAAAATTTGGATCATTGGAAGTGAAAAAATCTTGAAAAAAGGGGTTGACATATAATTATGTGGAGCAGTGTATTTTGTTAATTTAAATTTTAAATTTACGTTATTTTGATCAGCTATAACTAATTTATATTTGTCCTTGTAGCATGCTTTTCCAGAGTAAATGTTTGTAGCGACCGAATTTGGGACGAAACTTATGTTCAAGTGAATATTATCAGATTGACATTCAATTCTAACATTTTTGTAGTTAGTGTCCAAATTATTAATTTTAAATTGTAGATGTTCTGCATTGACAGATTTAATAAAAATAATAATTTGAAATAAGTTGAAGAAAACGAGTAATTTAGTTTTAGATATCATTACTAAGAAAATTTTTTGTGAATTTAAATATGCTATGAATTTCCTGACACGATTAGCTAAATAATTAGATTCCAAATTAGAAAGCATTGCATGTCTTAGTCCCAGTTTTCCATGTGTTTAGCTATACGATACCCAGTTCTATAATACAATAAGCGGGATATAAATGGAATACAAATGGATTATTGTTTGAAAACACGCAAAACTTCAAGAGCCAAAATTTTTATAACGTATCAAGCGGGACACGTCCAAGTAGGCGCGCGGCCAGGTAGGCGCAAAGCCATAACTACCTGAAACTTTTCTGGACCTTAACAATTTTGGTACTAAAGAAAGATACAAAAGTACTACACAAAAATATTTAGAGGACTAAGGTGTATATGGGTTTATAGGATTACGGGATATATCAAAAGGAATCCATGGAAGTCTGTTAATAAAACGTTAGCCTTTATTAAATTTTATTATTTTATTTATAAATTAAATTTTGAAATGCATATTGTGAATGGCTAATGGAATCCCATGCTATTATCAAATAAAGTTACGTCTCATAATGCCCTTTATTTATTTTATTGAATATTGATTTACAATAATTAAAATAATTTAACGGAACTAGATTTAATTTTGAAATTATCAAAATATAAATTTAAAATAGATTCTAATTTAATAAGTTATCAACTAAGTTTTGAGTCCCCCCTTGAGTTACACTGATTAAATAATTATTAAAATTCAACAAAGCGTTTTCAGAATTCAACAAAAAAGACTATAAATTATTATTATTATTATGTAAATTGAAAAAATTATGTAAATTGGAATTATCGAGAAATAAAATAATAATTTCAATATTTTATTTGCACGACAAAAAAAAATAAATTAGATTCAATTTTAATTAAAGAAATAAAAATATAATTATTAGAGTTTCATCGTAAGTTCTGGTTCCGGAAGTTCCGGTGTTTTTTTGGTTCCGGTCTAGTTCAGGGTCGGAATTCATATTTGATCCGGTTCCGGTCAAAATTTCGGTTCAGGTAATAGCTTTAAATTTTAGTCATAAATGGAAACTATGATATTTTAATTTCATTACCATAAATAGACTAAAAGGAAGTGTTCATTCAATCAAGCGCTCGATCACTTAATAATCTCTCTGAACGATTATTCCATGCATATAAACTATGAATTATTGAAGCGGATATCCTTTTGTAATTCTCTCATTTCGACTTAAATATTTCTAACGGCATCACTTAATAATGAATGACAAACAACTACTTTATGCTCCGGCCAACATTAGAAAAAATTTACCTTCGGTCTTTCACCTCAACTACACTGACAGCGATTCATCCTATTGCCTCTGCTCAACACTAAGTTGCCCGCAATTTGCTCCAGTATCACGCGATCTTATAATAAAAATATAAAAATTTTTTTTATTATAACTTCAAGTTCCAATATAAATTTACAAAGGTGAATGTCCGAAATAAAATTTTTAAATAAATTAAAGTCCCTTTTTTCCAAAAATAAATTAATATTTTTTGTTTATTAATTTTTTATCGCTTTGTTTATTAAAAATAAAAGCAAATGTTGTTGATTTTGTGTTACTTAATATATATTTTTATTTTTAAACATATGATCAAATGATAAAAAAGAAACGAAAAGCTTTTGCTACTTTGAGTGTGGGCAATAAGCCATAACGTGATGAAAGAGTTCCTCAAGTATTTTAAAACATCTGGAAGGGTATTTGGCTGTTATTTTTGCTGTTTTTCTTTTAAAAGTATATATAAATAAGGGCCAAGCAAATAACAAAAATATTTCTTCCTTCAGACATTTTCCCAAAAATTAATCAAAACAAATGCAGAATTATTTTTCAAGCTTTCTAAGCTCTAAGGCTTTATGGTAGATTTTTATTTTACAAAATAATTTTGATAATAGATTGTTTATGTGAGATATTTTTCCTATGGGGAACTATAGAAAAAGGGGCAAACCGGTCATGGGTCACCTCTGTACTATAAGATAGAGAGAAAGCATTGGCAGATCCTAATCCATGAGTATCTCACTTTTGTAAGTCTAACCAACGCCAAGGTGGTTTGACAATCTAGTTAATTAATTTCGATAGAATAATCTACTCGCATTGAGTTAAGGACTCACAGACCGCTGTGGACCGCTGGTCTACCTCCCAAAGCTGATCACTTTAATTCTACAGATTTTGATTTAAAATGAATCCATTAGGTGCCTTAATAAAAAATGAGAATTGATATCGAACTATTAAAAAACGAAACTATTATTATCAAAACTATCAAACGAACTATTACCAATATTTCTCGGAAAAAAAAATTCAAAAATTTTTTAAAAAATTCCTAAATTTTCAGTCATTCCCTCATCTCAATTCTCCTATTTCTCTCCTCCTTCAATAAAGCCTCCAGTTTCCGCCTGCAGGGCGCTGCAGTGAAAGGGCAACTTTTTTGCAAAGGAATATCTGCCGCTCATATAAATGTTGGATTATTTGATGTTGATAGAAATCCTGGCGATCCCGATGATTTATTGGATAAGGGAGTAACCGATAAATATGGAAATTTTGCTTTGGATGGGACTACTAGAGAATTGTTGAGTATTGAACCAGAATTGCGAATTATACACGATTGTGATGATGGTCTAAAGGTTTTTATGAGGGTAAATAAATTGTATATTGTGATAAGTGATAAGCTTTTAAAAACGATCTGGGCTTAATCTGTACATTTTTCTCCTTCTCAAACCCTTTGACTTCTGAAATCTCTTCCTTCCTCGAATAATGAAAGTGTAAGGATGAGAAAATCCAACTGACTATCATTTATAACGCTCACTACGCGGGGGTTTAAGTTCTGTCAAAAAGAGAAGGTGTAAGCAGCGTCCCGGTATCAGGGTATCATCGCTCCGTATCAGGGCTGTCCACAGTTGGTAGAGCACCAATACGTGGTGAGCGAAAGCGCCTAGCAACCTCGGAAAAGTTAAAATAATTTTCGATAACCTTCCAAAATTCAGTATTTTATGATTTCTAATAGGGTTGCGCGAGGTCGAGGTTTTTCGAAAAAACCGAGACCGAGGATCACCGAGACTGAAAAAGCGAGGTTCGAGGTCGAGGGTCAAATTTCAAGCGAGGTCCGAGGTCGAGGTTCGAGGATATCCGAGGTTTTTAAAAAATTCTTAATCCTTTAAAAATTTAATTAAATTTGCAAAATTTTATCAGATACTTGCTAAATAATTTTAAATTAATAATTTCGATCATATTTAGATCCAGTAGGGGACCCAATATAAATCGGACAACTCATACTTGGTCGAATATCGTGGGATTTTGAGGATAAACGGTATATAGCGGATGTAGTGGGATTAAGGGGAATTTAATAAATATCGGTGGAAGATATTAGGGGGTTTGTATGGTTTAAGTTGTGCCATAAAACGATTCAGTGGATAATGGGAGAGCACAGAGATATCGTTTAATTTGGATATAAAGGAACAACAATGTACAGGAAAAATCTTTCGAATTTTGGGAATCAAACCAGATTGCTTTCTTTTCCAGCGCCGCAGGCAAAAATTTTAAGAATTTTGGTAAGCCAAGAAGCCAGATTTCATCCTTTTTTGCGCCGCAGGCGAAAATTTTGAGATTCTTGGAAGGACGATAAGCAAAAATTCTTCCATTTCATCCAAAAAAGTCCATTCTTAGGGGTGTATATTTGGCCTCGTTCCTCGGCGAGGTTCTGGGCGAGGATCGAGACCGAGGCTCCGAGGCCGAGGACAGGTCGAACCGAGACCGAGATTGGAAAATGGGCGAGGTCCTCGACCTCGGCCTCGGCGAGGCCTCGACCTCGCGCAACCCTAATTTCTAAATAATTTTGTCAGTCATTTCCCCGTATCAAGGCTGTCCGAGGTTGTGGATTGAGTAAAATAACTTGCGGATTGCGGCTGCGGAAATTTTTTCAATTGAAGACCGCCTTGCCCCATATCCTCGTCAAAGTATGATGAATAGATACTTTGAATGATAAATGAACTAATGAATGAATCTCTTATCAATAAATATAAAAATATCACAGGTCCGATTCCTACCATGAGTCTAAAATCTTATCTCATTTTAGCCTGATTTTAAGTGTCTATCAGTCAGTGTTTGATAACTGCTCGAAGCTTTTACATTAAAATCTTTAAGATAATTTCAAAAATTTTTTTTATTTTTATTTCCAGACGTGCCATCGTTTAACAATCATTAAAGTTGGAAACGAATATATACACCATGGAAAAGTCGAAAAATTTTTTGATATTGGATTGCTCGATTTATCAGAAATACCTCAAACAGAAAATATCAGTGAACAACGTTATTGTTTGGATGACTTTTAATTAAAAAATATTTTTTTGATATTTTATTTTTAATTTTCCATATTAAATTTATTTTTAAATTTTTTGGTTAATAATAAAATTTATTTTTATTTATTATTTATTTCCACAAAACATGCACACTGCAACGCAAAATTACAGGGTGGGGCAAAAGTTCGGCGACAAATGTTTTTAATAAAATCTATTGTAAAAAAATTTATTTAACTTAAAAAATGATAAAATATAATCAATAGAATATATTAATCATTCTATTAAATTAATTGCTCAAAATACCCCCCCCCCCTGACAACAATACACACATCCAAACGCTTATGGATGTTACTCACAATGGTCGCGCATTATTCAACGGTTATTTCGTTACAGGCCCGCTCCAAAACAACTTTCAGTTCCTCCGATGTTGCCGAACTTTTGCCACACCCTGTATACAAACACCCCATTTTAGAAATTTTTTTGTAGTGGTCCAAATTTTCTGAAAATTTAAATACACACCTTTTAGTGAATAACTAGCAAGATTTGTATGGATTTTTGACAGAATTTTTACTTTAAAAATTTTTAGACCAAAATTTGTCCATTTTCCAAAAAATTATACGTCCACCTTCCAAAAAAGTTATTTTCAACAATGGAAATGAAATTCATTTCAATTAAAGTCAGACAAATTTTTATAAATTTTTTTACGAATAAGACTAACAATAAACAGGGAAGAAGATATCAAGTTTAGACAATTAAAAGAATATTCAATTAAATATTTTTAAATTTTTAATTAAATTTATTAAAATATTTCATAATTTCCTATTGTGTAATTAAAATTTTATATGCACTTTATTATTTAAAAACAGTCTTTTTGTCGGCTTTTTTGTCGGCTTTTTCCTTAGGCAGTTTTACATCTTTTTTGCACTTTATCTTTTTATATTTGATATATTATGAAAGAATGCGGGGATTTATAAAGTGAGACTCTTTCTTAATTATGAAAAAAGGCATGACTCTCAAAAAAGGGCAAGTCATTAAAAAGAGAGGGCAAAATATGGCTAAAGCGACGGCAAAAAGGGCATCCTTTTAAACATTTAAAATAATTAAAATTTTAAATAAAATTTTATTTTTGATTTTTTTTAAGTTTTAATTAAATTGGGCCCTCAGATTCGAAAATAAATAGATTTTATCCTTGGATGAAAATTAATTAAAGCTTGGATGCAAATAAAGCAGAATTAGTAGGTTTAATCGAGTCAATGGAATTAAATTGTTGAACACAATTTTGAGATAAGACTTGAAACTGTTTTTTGAGGTAATCAAAGTCTTCTTTAAAAAATTTATTGAGCATTTTGCAAGGCTACTGTGTTTACTAACATCTAGATACAAAAGATTTTGTTCTAAAACCCTAAACATACCCCATCCTGAAATAATAAAACATAGTACCTCGACATAACCGCTCGTATTACATAAAAGTCACTCTGCAACTTGTAATGAAAAACAAATAAGAAGACGAGATCTCGCTTCTCCTTTTTAGTCCCAAACATAAATTAATTTTTATCTTATCATCCGTCTCCATTATTAAAGGTCAAATCAACAATTTTTACGTTCTCATAAGAATCGGAAGTGTCTTTCGACAGACTCTCGCAAGCCTTGTTTATGCGCTTTTAAATTTTTTAAATGTAACGGTATCGAGTAATAATTATTTATTTTATTATGGAAAAACATTCAATAAACTTTAAAATATTAAACAATTTGTTAAGCAATTATAATTTTAAATTATTTAATTTTATCAATTATTGACTTTTAAAAATTTTTAAACGTTCGCTCCTCTTCTCTCTCTCGAGAGCTACACGTCTGATTTTTTCCTCTCAAATGCCCTTTACATTATTTTATGTAAAGGGCATTACATTAAATTATTTTATAGAGTTAAATTATACATTTAAATATTAAAGTTTTTTATTAAATTATTTTACATTAAGTTATTTTATCACCAAATCCGTCTTAATCCTATTGATAACCCTCTTAATCCTCTGATACCACTCGATATCCCCCTTTATCTAGCCTGAGTCAACATGGAGCGGCTCCGATATTGTTATTGACCCCCTAGTGTCATATTTCTTGTATTTAGAGTTTTGAGAGGAGATACTTGGTGGAGAGAGGTTTGGTATGTTTTATGTGTCGATTACCTACCGGCAGACCTCAAAAACTCGAAAAATGCACTTTTATCCTTTTTCTAGAATTGTTTTGAATTTAAATATTTAATTCTCAATTTTTAGCCTAAATAATGTTTTCCATTTTTTGGCTTAATTCTTTTTTAATTTTTTGTTATATTCTGCTATATTCCAATGGTAATTGTATGCAGAAATTCGTTGAAGGAGAAAGTAATCCACAACAAAATTATGATGAAGGTTCATCATCTTCAAGTATTCCACCCATTCAACAAATCCAATTAAAAACAGATAAAGGAAAGAAAATACTTATTGTAACTGATGCGCATTACTCAAGTTACAATTTTTTCGTAAGTTTAAAAAATAAAAGATAAAATCTTGTATATAATAATTTTCAGTTAACCCTTGCAAATGTTTTATGTCACATCGGCAAGTATAACGTGGTAAGTGGAACTTTAATATGAGTTTCAAGAAAACATGGGCAAAACATATTTCATTCGCTTTGTCTCTGCGAGCTAACACGGTACCACTCACAAAGTGCGAAAATGCCTGTGGACCGAGATATGGATCCCTGAACATTGAAAAACCAATGCGGAGGGGAGGGAGTAAGCCCAATTTGGCGGTAGAAAATGCGATATTTTTAATGATAGCTCATTCGAAAGAGCTCCTCGAGCTGAGCCGAATGACACCAAAATCAGCACTCGATCTCAACTCTGTTTGTCCATGTTCAGAGAGGGCCCTCGTTTTGTCCATGTTCAGAGAGGGCCCTCGACTAACCTACAGCCCAAAAAACTTGTGTAGAGTTTAATAACACACCCATTCATTCGCCAACACAAAAGGTTCAGGTAAACCTATGGATGTCGAGGAAGTCAATGTCGCTTTGATCTGTAAGGTTGTCTTGCTTTGATAATGAGGTTGTCTTGCGAATAAGTGGGGTGTATAGTTAAACTGAATAATTTACAATAGGATAGTGTCAAGGATTTGGGAAATTTTACCTGTTCTAATTTAATTTGTATTTTTAGTATTTACTTGTTGTTAAGTACAATGAAAATGTAAATTCGAAAAAACCTTTGAAAGATGTTAAAATGATACAAGTACCGTATATGAAGGATGAAGAGTATTCTAAAGTATTTGACGTAAATGAATCTGAACCCAATTGGAATTCTAAAGATAATGGAAAGGATTATCAACCCTTGAAAGCTTTAGGATTTTATATGTATGCTGGATATAAAGGTAGCTAAAAATTTGGCGGGATCTTCCTTTTTAGGAAGGTAATATATATAGATGAATATCGGAATCTTTGTCATATGTTGTGTATGTGCGCGCTTAAAAGGCTTCAGTTAAATGACTCTATCACTTGATAAAAGGTTGATTCTCAGGCGATCACATTCTCAATTGATCATGATAACTCAATTGAGTCAGTCTATCAACTTGGTGTTCGGCAAAAGAGTGAGTAGGATTTCTATCCAAAATTCCAAAAAATTGGTGACGACGACCTTTTCCTCGAATGACCAATTTTTTTTGGTGAACAAAACACTTAATAGTACCAAAATTCTAGTACCCAATATTCCGTTTTTTGACTTGGTGATCAAATTCCACCGTTGACCAAAATTTCAAAAATTGGTAACCAGAGTTCCAAAAAAAATCTCTGTGATTAAAATTTCGTACACTAATAGAGGTATTATTATTATTCTTTCCATATGAGTTTCGGGAATCATAACTTCACGAAAATGGTACTGGAAAATACAGTCATCGACATAAAGATAGGGGCAAGAGTAACTGAAATGGAAATTAACCATTTTCTCAGTTAAAAATCATTTTAGGAAAAATTTTTTTATTTTATTGGATACTCCATTTAATTCTCTATTTAATGAGTATAAATTTTGCCGGATTAATATTTTATACTACAGAGCCCTAACTGAAATAAAAAAGTAGGGCTAATTTTCGCGCGACAAAAAGATAGGGGCAAGTCTCATAACTAAAAATTCACCCGCAAAAAAATCTACAAAAAATTGAGTGAACATATTTATCGATGATAAGATAAAATTTTAAAGAACTAGGCCCATAACTCATTTCAATGTCGAGATCTCGATACCCCAAAAATCAACGTAAAACAGGGGTAGCATCTTCAAAAAATATTTTCAACCCTTTATGGATTGTTTTAGATTTTCATTTTAGGCTCATTCGATAGACCTTGAATTGAGCTATAAACATGCCAAATTTCATTTTTCAGAAAAAAATATTTCGTTAGTTGCATAGGCGAATGTTACAAAAAGCAACAAACACCCCATAAATTCCCTCTTAAATGGCGCTTCTGAAAATCAACGTTCTTTATCTTGGGAGGAAAATTTTTTTGAAAAATGAAATTTGGCCAGCTTGTAGCAGATTTTAAGGGCTATCGAATGTGCCTAAAACAAAAATTTAAAACAATCCAAAAAATGTCGAAAAAAATTTTTTAAGTTGAAAAACCCTGTTTTACGTTGATTTTCAGGGCAGCGAGATCTCGACACCGAAACGAGATACGGGACTAGTTCTTTTTTATTTCCTCTTATAATTGGTCAATATGATTGTATAAATTTTTAAAGATTTTTTGTCCGGGTGAATACTTAGTTATGAGACTTGCCCCTATCTTTTTGTCGCGCGAAAATTAGCCCTACTTTTTTATTTCAGTTTGGGCTCAATAGTATAAAATATTAATCCCGCAAGATTTATACTCATTAAATAGAGAATTAAATGGAGTATTTAATCAAATAAAAAAAATTTTCCTAAAATGAACTTTTAACTGAGAAAATGGTTAATTTTAATTTCGGTTACTCTTGCCCCTATCTTTATGTCGATGACTGTATGTATTTAAAATTTCACCCTTTTAAGCGATAATAGAAAATCCTATGGTTGAAATCTATGGAATAAAACAAAGGATTTTTGATTGGCTCAAGCATATGGGGGAAACAAACAAATTTGAATTGGGAATTGCTATAAATCTATTTTGAATCTATAATCTATTTTGAATGTTTTTATGTTTTTGTTACCTATTTTGGTATTTTATAAAAACTATTTAGATACCTATTTTAAGGTTTATACTACATAAAATCCGATCCCTAATAAGCTTTTGTCCCTGCAATCGGTGTTATTTTCAGGATCAAAATCCGGAAAATAGGTTTTTATCAAAAATACATGGATTCCGGATCCGAACTCTAATTAATACCAGGATTCCGGATTACCGTATCCGGACTTGATTAGTACCTTTTTAATCCAGTTATATACAGGGTCTTCAACCATTGTTGTTTTACTCTTATTTTCCGCTTTTTCTTTCAATTTCTTTCCATGCTCATTTTTAAAGATTCCTTCCATTTCAATTTCAATACCTCCAATATTAACAATTCTTTTTGGAGTATTTGGAAAGGAAAATTGTCCAAGTGGATGTGCATTTATTAAATAATATTTTGATTTTCTTAATAAATCCCACATTTTTGGCATTTCTTCAATATTAATTAATTGATGAGCTTTTAATAAATTATTATTTAAGGCCCTTTTCCTTGCCAACTTTAAATATTCAACTTGATTTTGTTCATAAAATTTAAAATAGATTTCTGTGTGGATAAGCTCTAAATTATTAAATTTAAAAAGTTAATTTGAAAGGCAAATAAATTCGAGGTTATAGTTATTAAAATGCTCTTTTAACATGATTCAAGAAATTTTTGGAAAGATTCGTGGTGATTTTTCGGAATTTTCGATAATACTGGTGTACTTTTCGATAATACTGTTGTAGGTACTGAAGAATTATTTTGCCGGGGTCAAACCAGATGGTCTACTCACTAGAGGATATCGAGGGATTTGGTGTGGTTGAATGGGATATAGATCTCTACTAACCCAGAATTATGGTGCACGCGCACAATACGGTGCACGCGCACAATACCAAGTTAAGAGACTGTATGCAAAAAATAATTGCATACCATTAATTGTGTAGTAGCTTTTCTGTCCAAGAAAATGCAAATGAATGGGTAGAGCAATTGATGAAGTTGCAGCTATATACTTCCTTAATCCCATTTCTTCAAAAATAGGAAATGCCCCAAAAGAAAACTCAGCAATTCCCAATTCAAATTTGTTTGTTTCCCCCATATGCTTGAGCCAATCAAAAATCCTTTGTTTTATTCCATAGATTTCAACCATAGGATTTTCTATTATCGCTTAAAAGGGTGAAATTTTAAATACATACAGTCATCGACATAAAGATAGGGGCAAGAGTAACCGAAATTAAAATTAACCATTTTCTCAGTTAAAAGTTCATTTTAGGAAAATTTTTTTTATTTGATTAAATACTCCATTTAATTCTCTATTTAATGAGTATAAATCTTGCGGGATTAATATTTTATACTATTGAGCCCAAACTGAAATAAAAAAGTAGGGCTAATTTTCGCGCGACAAAAAGATAGGGGCAAGTCTCATAACTAAGTATTCACCCGGACAAAAAATCTTTAAAAATTTATACAATCATATTGACCAATTATAAGAGGAAATAAAAAAGAACTAGTCCCGTATCTCGTTTCGGTGTCGAGATCTCGCTGCCCTGAAAATCAACGTAAAACAGGGTTTTTCAACTTAAAAAATTTTTTTCGACATTTTTTGGATTGTTTTAAATTTTTGTTTTAGGCACATTCGATAGCCCTTAAAATCTGCTACAAGCTGGCCAAATTTCATTTTTCAAAAAAATTTTCCTCCCAAGATAAAGAACGTTGATTTTCAGAAGCGCCATTTAAGAGGGAATTTATGGGGTGTTTGTTGCTTTTTGTAACATTCGCCTATGCAACTAACGAAATATTTTTTTCTGAAAAATGAAATTTGGCATGTTTATAGCTCAATTCAAGGTCTATCGAATGAGCCTAAAATGAAAATCTAAAACAATCCATAAAGGGTCGAAAATATTTTTTGAAGATGCTACCCCTGTTTTACGTTGATTTTTGGGGTATCGAGATCTCGACATTGAAATGAGTTATGGGCCTAGTTCTTTAAAATTTTATCTTATCATCGATAAATATGTTCACTCAATTTTTTGTAGATTTTTTTGCGGGTGAATTTTTAGTTATGAGACTTGCCCCTATCTTTTTGTCGCGCGAAAATTAGCCCTACTTTTTTATTTCAGTTAGGGCTCTGTAGTATAAAATATTAATCCGGCAAAATTTATACTCATTAAATAGAGAATTAAATGGAGTATCCAATAAAATAAAAAAATTTTTCCTAAAATGATTTTTAACTGAGAAAATGGTTAATTTCCATTTCAGTTACTCTTGCCCCTATCTTTATGTCGATGACTGTATGTATTTTCCAGTACCATTTTCGTGAAGTTATGATTCCCGAAACTCATATGGAAAGAATAATAATAATACCTCTATTAGTGTACGAAATTTTAATCACAGAGATTTTTTTTGGAACTCTGGTTACCAATTTTTGAAATTTTGGTCAACGGTGGAATTTGATCACCAAGTCAAAAAACGGAATATTGGGTACTAGAATTTTGGTACTATTAAGTGTTTTGTTCACCAAAAAAAATTGGTCATTCGAGGAAAAGGTCGTCGTCACCAATTTTTTGGAATTTTGGATAGAAATCCTACTCACTCTTTTGCCGAACACCAAGTTGATAGACTGACTCAATTGAGTTATCATGATCAATTGAGAATGTGATCGCCTGAGAATCGAGCTCTTTCTAATGACAAAATTTAAAATTTTCCAAATTTAAAATCGCAATATAAAGTTTAGTAAAGCAGCTAGGCTATAATTATTTCTCTCCTTTAGCTAGTGCAAAAGGTTAATCGGCGGCTGGGAGCGAACCAGCATCTTCAGTAGACCGGACCATTACTGCACAGCCTTTGGAATTAAATAGTTATATGGTTTACAGTTTGCTTAGCCGTAATTTTTCCCATATTTTCGTAATCGTAATTACGACGCAACTCTGTGAAAGATTAAAAGAAAATTGCGACTAGGTTTGTCGTCGGTAACGAACAAAAGAACATGGACTAAAATTACAGATTGTTCGGTTTTCTTTTATTTTTCATTCTGATCATGAATCTCATTCTCTCTCATTTTCTTCGAATTAGTAAACTCATCTAAGGCAACCGAAAAGGGTTTGTATCCGCTGTGTTCAACCTCTTCAAATTTAGAAATTGCAGGATAAGGTTCTTCATCGTCTTTCTCTTCTATAGCTTTCTCAACAGCTTCGAGAAACGTCTGAACTTGTCCATTTGGGAATTGGTTAATTGCTTCTTTAATCTTGTTGTAGTTTTCAATAAGGGTGTTTGGATTGGATTCTTGATTTTCTCTAAAATAATTTTATTTATTATTTTATTAGGATATCTGGCAGCATTTATATGGGTTAAAATATAGGTATACGAATGGAAGGAGAAAACAAGGTTGTCGGTGTAAGGGCTTGGAGGCTCTAGTTAAATTCTTAACCCGGTCATACTTGGCTATGTATGAGTACCAAAATTATCAGTTCAGGGATATATTCGAATATCCGCCATTTGCCATCGCCAATGGCAATGGTTTGCCATCGCCAGAAAAATCTGTTCCAATAATTTCGATCGGAAATGGCGGCTTTTTTTTTTAATATAGCGGATCTGTTCCAATATATTAAAAAAAAAAGCCGCCATTTCCGATCGAAATTATTGGAACAGATCCGCTGTGTTTTGTATCCGCTGTGTTCAACCTCTTCAAATTTAGAAATTGCAGGATAAGGTTCTTCATCGTCTTTCTCTTCTATAGCTTTCTCAACAGCTTCGAGAAACGTCTGAACTTGTCCATTTGGGAATTGGTTAATTGCTTCTTTAATCTTGTTGTAGTTTTCAATAAGGGTGTTTGGATTGGATTCTTGATTTTCTCTAAAATAATTTTATTTATTATTTTATTAGGATATCTGGCAGCATTTATATGGGTTAAAATATAGGTATACGAATGGAAGGAGAAAACAAGGTTGTCGGTGTAAGGGCTTGGAGGCTCTAGTTAAATTCTTAACCCGGTCATACTTGGCTATGTATGAGTACCAAAATTATCAGTTCAGGGATATATTCGAATATCCGCCATTTGCCATCGCCAATGGCAATGGTTTGCCATCGCCAGAAAAATCTGTTCCAATAATTTCGATCGGAAATGGCGGCTTTTTTTTTTAATATCCGCCAATTACAAACACTATTTTATGGTGATGGCGATGGTTTACCATCGCTATCATTGGCAAATGGCATGCTATTTTCAGTAAAATGGAATGAATTGCCTTTTTGGCCTTAAGTTTGGGGTCTCTCAAAGAGGTCTAGAATATTCCAATTCACGCCAATATTTTTTTCTGCAAGATAACAATAGTAGTGGATTTTTTGCAAGGTTAAATACTTCCTAAGATTACAGTAACAAATAACCATTTTAATAAAAAGCATACATAAAATATAATATAATTGTCAAATCAGTTCTTAAAAAAGTTTTAAAAATCAACAAAAAAATTTTTAGCTCAAACGAATATTCGAGGTTTTATTACTGCAGGTGATCAGAAAAGCTTTACTCAGGTATTTAAAATAATTTTTAGAGAGAATACTTTGCAATTTGTCTGGGCGGGGGAGGGTTCTGATGCACGACCTGTTTTGAGGTTCGGAAAACCTTCCGGAAAACCTTCCAGGGACCTTTCGGAAGGCCTTACTTCGAATCAATCTGAAAAATTAAACTTTAGGGGTTTTAATGGAATTGCAAATTTTTAAATACAAAATAAAAAATTTAAAATAAAATTAATATTTTTACAGGCTCTTTATTTCGGTGTTCCATTAATTTTAATTCCATTTAATATTGAGCAAAAGTTTAATGCAAAAGCTGTTGAATATACGGGAGTGGGGATTGTTGTTGATCATACAAAATTTATTGAAGAATTTCCTATTGCCGTTAAAGAATTGCTAAGGTAATTCGTGTTTAAAGTAATTAAATACCAGTTGGCCAAATGTGTCGGAAGGTGATATCCGACCTTGCAAAAAATCCACTACTATTGTTATCTTGCAGAAAAAAATATTGGCGTGAATTGGAATATTCTAGACCTCTTTGAGAGACCCCAAACTTAAGGCCAAAAAGGCAATTCATTCCATTTTACTGAAAATAGCATGCCATTTGCCAATGATAGCGATGGTAAACCATCGCCATCACCATAAAATAGTGTTTGTAATTGGCGGATATTAAAAAAAAAAGCCGCCATTTCCGATCGAAATTATTGGAACAGATTTTTCTGGCGATGGCAAACCATTGCCATTGGCGATGGCAAATGGCGGATATTCGAATATATCCCTGAACTGATAATTTTGGTACTCATACATAGCCAAGTATGACCGGGTTAAGAATTTAACTAGAGCCTCCAAGCCCTTACACCGACAACCTTGTTTTCTCCTTCCATTCGTATACCTATATTTTAACCCATATAAATGCTGCCAGATATCCTAATAAAATAATAAATAAAATTATTTTAGAGAAAATCAAGAATCCAATCCAAACACCCTTATTGAAAACTACAACAAGATTAAAGAAGCAATTAACCAATTCCCAAATGGACAAGTTCAGACGTTTCTCGAAGCTGTTGAGAAAGCTATAGAAGAGAAAGACGATGAAGAACCTTATCCTGCAATTTCTAAATTTGAAGAGGTTGAACACAGCGGATACAAACCCTTTTCGGTTGCCTTAGATGAGTTTACTAATTCGAAGAAAATGAGAGAGAATGAGATTCATGATCAGAATGAAAAATAAAAGAAAACCGAACAATCTGTAATTTTAGTCCATGTTCTTTTGTTCGTTACCGACGACAAACCTAGTCGCAATTTTCTTTTAATCTTTCACAGAGTTGCGTCGTAATTACGATTACGAAAATATGGGAAAAATTACGGCTAAGCAAACTGTAAACCATATAACTATTTAATTCCAAAGGCTGTGCAGTAATGGTCCGGTCTACTGAAGATGCTGGTTCGCTCCCAGCCGCCGATTAACCTTTTGCACTAGCTAAAGGAGAGAAATAATTATAGCCTAGCTGCTTTACTAAACTTTATATTGCGATTTTAAATTTGGAAAATTTTAAATTTTGTCATTAGAAAGAGCTCGACAAGCTGAGTCGAATGACACCAATATCAGTTCGCGGAAACAACTCGATTACGACACAACCCTGATCTTTCCCATAATTCTAAGTATTTTTTTTTATTAACCAACTCGTTTCGATTTAAATGCGATTGATGAATTTTTTTGAACATTGTAGTAAACAGACTTGCACACGGATACGGATATGGATACAAATAATATCAAAATGCCTGCGGATATCCGTCTGTATCCGCCCGTATCCGCCGTAAATATCCGGATACCAAGATCAGTATCCGTGTGCAAGTCTGGTAGTAAAAGAATATTTGAGTTAAAACCTTTGAATACCAATGATGAAAAAATTTTGTTAAATAATATATTAATTATTCTATGTACATAATTTGTCTTAATTAAGACAGAAATGTTAAAAATTCCTCTAAATATTTTAAGCAATAATCGAAAATCCTAAAGTTGAAATTTTCAACTGCAACAAAAAAATTTTAATTTTCTTACGCATATGTGAACAACAAACTACCTATCTTGCATTGGGAACTGCTGAGTTTTTTGGTAATTTCCTATTTTTGAAAAAAATCAGCAGGAGTATGTATAGTTTTTTAGAATGTTAGGCCTTACAATCAAATGTCCGACTTTATCAACAATTTTATGCTTCACAAAGGACTATGGTTCTACTATGCGTTTATCTCCCTTATGTACGTAAATGTTTAAAAATGTCTGAAAATTTCTGTAATCCGCCCTAGTGTACAATATTCCAGTGAACAATTTTTCAGTGCATAACTTTTCGGGAGCCATGTACATAGATAGACGCATAGTACCAAAATTTAAAATAAAGATATAAATAAATAATCATATAAAATAATAAATAATCCCGACAAAAAATAATTTTAAAAAAATACTGTTAATTTTAAGTAACCCAATTTTTTTTGTCATATACCCCCCCCCCCTATTCCCCTACCCATCTTCAGTTAAATACCCTCTATTTTTAGTTAAATACCCCATTTTCCCAACAATTTTCAGTTAAATACCCCCTACTTTAGTTAAATACCCACATTCCCCACCCATTTTCAGTTAAATACCCCACAAATATAACATTTTTTGTTAAATACTCCCAATGTTAAATACCCCACATTACCCACCCATTTTCAGTTAAATACCCCATTTTTGTTAAATACCCCATATTCTCGATGTTCACAATGTTTAAAATTTCTTGTTTCTTTTCTTGTCAAAATAGTTCTTTGTTCCTGCATTTATCAACTGTTACGGCTATTTGACTAGATTAAAAAATAAAATATTTAGAATTTAGTTCTGAAGTTTTTTATTCTGGATTGATCCAAAAATCTTTTTTAACAGATTTCGTTTGGATAGATAATAGGGGATAATAAGGGAGCCCCACCCTTTTCAATTAGAGCCCCACCCTTTTCCCAAATATTTTTTTAATTTTCTAGAATTTTGAATTAAATTTTAAATAAAATTTTAAATTATAAAATAAAATTTTTTAAAAATACATTGCTTTTGCTGTGTCCATGGCTTCGGCTGCGGCTTCGGCGTATTGGTTGAGAATTCTTATTTTATTAATTAAAATTATTTAATATTTTTGAATATTTCAAATTAAATTCTTTTTAATTTTATGATTATTATAATATAAAAGCTTAGCGAAACAAATTTTCACAAATATTTTTTTAATCCTGAAGATGGCACTTTTGTTTTTAGAAAATTCTAGCCCTTAATCCCCCGATATCGCCATTAATCCAGCTAAATAACACGATAATCCACCCAAAACCCGCTTAATCCATTGATAACCCTCTTAATCCTCTTATATGACTCGATATCCCCCTTTATCTACCCAAATCACCCAATAAAAAATAATTCATTGATTTTCCACCCGGAGCCCGGAGCCAACATGGAGAGCCTTCGAAAATTGCCGGCTCCGGAGCCGGAGCCAATATTTTAAAACCCCGGAGCCCGGAGCCAACAAATGGCAAATACCCAGCACTGCTTGCAACAAGGTCTTTTAAAAGTGACCACCTTATTTTTACAACCCCATTTCAGTTTTTAAATTAACAATATCTCGTCGATTATCAAATACAAAGATTTTAAAACATAAATAATTTTGATGAATAAAGCATTTTATGTCCCAGAATAAAAGAGCTACATATCTTACAGGCACGAAAAATATTCGGAAAACTGGGTGGTCAACTATTTTTGACGGGGGGGGGGCTTTAATCGAGTCTTTTATTTTATTATTTCAGTGATTCTTTTAGTTATGGGTTCATTATGACACACTAATTAAATTAGTTTTCTAAATAAGGATTAAATTAATCCGATAATTTAAAATTTTTTAAAAATAAAAAATAAAAATACTTGGCTATTTTCTGGAGTAATATTCAAATCTGTTAAATAATAAGTAAAAGAATTGATTTTTAATAAATAAAAGGCCCAGCTTTCAAATCATATCATTTGAATGATTTAAAAGCACTCGATAAGTGCTCTTTTTCTTAAGAGGATGGATCAGGTTTAATAAGCCCATTAGAAGGTTGCAACTCGGCAAGTGCTCGAAATAGTTGTTTTTTACATTTATTGTAACCTTTTAATAGACGATCAGAATCATCAATTTGAAGAAAAGATATCGCTTATCGATAGCTTTCGAATGATATGTGATTAAGTACCGAAATATGCAAAAATATGTATTAAGAATCGGGTCCTTAAGTGCTCGGACCATGTAAAAAGACCGTTTTTAAGTGTTTTAGCTCATGGAATATCCGCATGCAAAATATGCATCTGCATGTTTTGACAAGCTCTATTTATGACATTTAGATTGGTATTGAAAAGTATGTAGAATTAGTGTTATTCTATCGTAATAAATTTGATAAAAATATTTATTTGTTTTATATATCAAATAATTATATTAAATAATAATTTACTAACTGAATAAGGGTTGATGATGAATTTCTTGTTGTGGTGAATGTCGAGGAAGAGGATAATTCAAATCATAATTGTAAGTTGGAGCTAAAAATGAATAAAGGTTACACTGGCGAAGTAATATTACACCACAATCGTAAGAGGGTAATTATTCAGGGAGAATTTAAACAAGAAAATACGGTACTTATAAATTTAAAATAGTTGATAAATTACCGGGTAATGCAAAATGATCATCTCCATGTTGTTGTAAATGTTGAGGAGGATTATTCAAATCTAGTCCATAATAGTAAGTCGGAACTAAAAAATTATATAGATTCAATTTTGGAAGATTAATAACCATAATGGAAGCTACTTCCTCCTCCCTGCTGGGGATGTTGAAAATGTGACGAACTTCCTGCAAAATTGTGAGGGTATTGTGTAATTTCATGTCCATGTAAATTTGGATTCGAGAATAGATGTTGATTTTGTTCAATAACTTGTTGCCGTGAAATATTGGCTTGTTCCTGAGTTTGTTGCTCAAGTTCTTGATATTTATAAATTAAATTTATAAGATATTTAGTAAAAGTTTTAGTGCCTGACACAGGACTGGATCCTAGGCTTAATTATGGACTTTTAATAATTTTTTCACAATCTCCTTATTTTACTTTAAATTTAAATATTAAATTTTAGATCCCTACGCTAGATTTTTTGGACTCAGGATTTTAAATAAGATTTTTCATGATCTCTTTGTTTAATTTATTTGGAGCTGGAATAGGGCAAAAATCAGGCAGCCTTTTTTTTAATTTACAAAAAATAAAATTAATCTAAAAATTTTTTACTTACGTAATTGTTGAAAATAAAATTGTTCGACGTTATTTAAGTCTTCTTCAAGCATTTTATAATTAGGAGATTTTTTATTCATTTTTTCCATTAAGATTTT